TTTCACCATGTTGACCAGGATGGTCTTGATCTCTTGACCTCGTGATCCACCCGCCTCGGCCTCCCAAAGTGCTGGGATTACAGGCTTGAGCCACTGCGCCCGGCCTGGGGTAACATTTCTATTTGTACTTTTATGACTCCCAAAACTCTCAAGTAGCCTCCAAATATCCCAGTATACCCTAATTCCCCCAGTAATCAATTAAACCAGCATTAATGTAGCCCCTACCCATCCCATTCCAGTCTCTTTCAGGAGGGTAGGCTGTGCCCTCCTGGAGCCAATTCTCTTGTATTCCCTGAAATCCTTGGGCATTTTCCTCTCCTCCAGAGCTGAATTGGACTCAAAATCATAACAGCTTCTCTCCTGACCCAACCTCTGCTATCCTGACAATGGCTATGCTGCTTGCTGAAGTTTACTGATAGGAGGCAGGCCACCGCATTCATCACGATGGTTATGTCCGGGCACTGTGCTTGTGTTCATCCCTTCAGAGGAGAAATCAGAAGCAATCAAGTGCAGGACAAAATAAAGAGAGCAGGGTGGGCACCCCGCAGCTTTCAGAGAGATCTGAGCTTTTTGATACATTTTAGAAAAGTTCTTACAGGACTCATGAACCCTGTGACTGCTGGCCACTGCTTGCGGCTGCCATTTTGCCTAGAAATCATCTCCCCCTTTCTCTCTGCCCTTTCCTCCCTCCCGTCCTTCACTTCCACTTCATTTCTCTCTCCCTTCTACAGGTTCTCTCTAGTTTCCTACCTCATAATTCTAAAGTGTAGTTGAAGTAAACAAATAACATTTATTAAGTAAGGTTTTAGATTCTCTATTCTCTAGTTTTCAAGTGGGTAAAGCTGGACAAGTTTTGCTTCTTGAAAAACAGAAGGCCCTAAGGTTAATTTTAAATTGATCTTTACTTAACTGTGGTCCTTGATCGATTTTCTTTCTGTGGGTTTGAGGAGTCTGACAGAAAACTCATTTCCGCTCTCCTGGCGTAGATGGGGTGTGGGATGGGAAGTGAGGGAATGGTTCTTTAAAGGTGGTGAATTCCATTATAGATGGATATCTAAATCTCAAAAATATATACTTTACCAATCTAGAAAAACAAATCTTGTTGTTCTGATTGCGTCAAGCATAATCAAAAGGAAGATTGTTTTTTACACAGATAAGGTAAGCTACACAGAAAATAGCCTGCAATTCCTGATCCATTGCTTCAGTTGTATAAAGTGTATGTTTATAAAACCTATAAAACCGCACAAAATAATTCTTTTTCTTACTCTGTTGCTCAGGCTGGAGTGCAGTGGCGTGATCTCTGCTCACTGCAACCCTCCGCCTCCCAGGGTCAAGCGATTTTCATGCCTCAGCCTCTGTAGTAGCTGAGACTACAGATGGGCATAACCACACCTGGCTAATTTTTTCTGTTTTTAGTGGAGACGGGATTTCACCATGTTGGCTAGGCTGGTCTCAAACAATGCTTAAGATAAGGGCAGAGAACCAAATGAATGTGCTTGGCACTTACCCTGAGGGTGATGGACCGAGGGGGCTTCTGTGGGGGATCGTCGTGTAGCCTGTCTCCCAGAGATGCCAAAATGCGTTTCCTGTGGCCAATCAAATTGATTTTTAGAACCTGAAACAACATATATTTGGGTTAAATATTTCATTGGAGAAGAAATAATTTTTATATGTCCTAAAACACATGGGGTAAAAAAGAGATTTGTGCAAAGCGACCCCTGCACCATGAGATATGGTGTGACATCAGTGTGACTGCTGAAGTCCACAAAGATGGCAGTAGCATCTGGAAAGCCTGGAGTGGCTAAGTAGTAGGGGCAGAAAGAGAAGGCAGGATGGTTCTCCTTCCACTCATGTTGCCCGACAGTCCCACTCCCAATGCAGCAGCCCCAAGACCTTGCCAAAATAGACTCCCGCTCTCCTCATAAGCAGCAGAAACCTCACAGGATACAATCTCAGTCCAGACTTGGCTTTGGGCTAATGGGGATAGGCTTCCTTGGCTTTCCCTCCATCCAGGACACGCAGTCATGCCAGCCTCCTCTGGGTCTTGGAAACTTGACATTCATTCTTGTCTTGGGGCCTCTACCCCTGATCAGCTACCAGCCTGGAATTTTTCCTCTCCCCTCGGAGATTTTCAAATAACCAGTGACTTCTCATGGCTCTGGACATTGTTCTAGTGCTGTGTTCTCAGAAAGGTTTCCCCCACCTCCTTATTGAAGGTTCCGTGCCTTCAATCTCTGGCATGCTCTCCATGATGATCCTCATTTTATCATGCTCTGAAAGCACTTTCTTTACAGGCTTAGTGTTTGCGTTTTGTTCTACCCTCTCCAGGTAAGCTCCCTGGGAGCAGGGCACTAGCATATGTTGATCACTATTATTTCCCAAAAGGATGACTAAAAAAATAAGGGATTAATGAATTAATAGAGATGACAGTTGCAAAATTAGAGTTATCTTGTGTAAGGATACAGTTAGATGTGGAAGCATTGCCTGTTGGGGTAGACTCAGAGCCTCCCCAGGATGGTATTTTGAATCTGATCATACTGCAAACGGCATGTGGCAGAAGAGCTTTCAAAGGGAAATGAGAATTGCAGAGCCTCAATCCTCAGCCCCATTCCTGGTGCTTTACCTAGGCCACACCCTTTTCAATCTTACCAACTTCTTTATCTGGAAGGAACTCTCACTTGACAGATGAAGAAACTGTGGTTTGGAGTGGTTAAGTCACTTACCCAAGAGCCAGCATGCGGTGGCTCTGGGATTTGAATCAGATTGGTCCAATTCCAAAGCATCTTTTACTCCAAACTATACAGCACAAAATCTGGGGATATCTCCAAATATTACCAACTTCTCAAAAAACCTATTGCATATTTATAAAAATGTGTTTGCCTCTTTCCTACCTGTGTGTAGTCCCAAGATACAATAATCTTGTTGGGTAACTAGTTTCCAAAGTCGTTACCCCATGTGTAAATTTTTTTCTTCTCTTTTCAAGTTTTAAGATAGAAAGTGGGGTGAGCATTTCTTTGGCATGCATTCCAAATGCATGGCATGCTACCTTGAATTTTTCCTAAAAAATTATTTCAGCTTTTATTTTAAATATGTGCAGGTTTGTTGTATGGATACACTGTGTGATGCTAAGGTCTAGGGTATGAACAATCCCATCACTAGGTAGTATGCATAGTACCCAACAGATAGTTTTTCAGCCCTTGTCCCCTTCCTCCCTCTCCTCTTTAGTAGTCCCCAGTGTTCACTGTTGCCATCTTAATGCCAATGAGTACTCAACGTTTAGCTCGCACTTATAAGTGAGAACATGCAATATTTGGTTTTCTATTTCTGCATTAATTAACTTAAGGGTAATGGTCTTCAGCTGCATCCATATTGCTGCAAAGGACATAATTTCATTCTTTTTTATGTCTGCGTATATTCCATCCACCTTGACTTTTTATTTACCTATTCGCCAGTTATCTTATTGGCCTTTTGGCCTAAACGGATACAGATTTTACACTCATACTATGCCCTATGCCTTTTATAGCCACGCTCTGACCCATGCCTGTTGATGATGGGGAGGGCAAATGTTAGCCAAGGTGAATGTCCCCATGTACCATATCCCTATGATTTTATAAACCTTCACCTCCCCAGGTTGATGAATCCTAATCTTTGCAAGTTTGTTTTCATAAAGCAGATCTTCTTTTCCATAAATCGTTTCAGTTGACATTCTCTGGACTTTCTCCTACCCTATTACAGCTGCTTAAGGTATGTTAAAAAAAATGGCACACAATATTCCTGGTATAAGTGAACCATGGCTTTACATTTATGCTGTATACTGTTTTCTGCTTTTAATATCCTTTTGAAATGTCCTTCCTAAGCTCACCTGATTTCTGGCTAGAAAGCTGCAGTAGGAATAGCTAGGGAAGTATACACGGACTATAAAATCCCTTAATTTTGTTATAGCTAGTAGTTCAAAGCCCTTTAATCTAAGAGGGATGATTTGAATTATTTTTCCTGAATTCCTTATCTTACAGTTGTCCAGGCAGAAGCCCATCTGCTATCCTTCTGCCCACTCACACAGCCCTGTGTTCGCTTTCTGCATTTTTATTAACCAGTTTGGCATTTCACTACCTGGAAGAGCTTAGCGGTTTTTGCAAATCTGGAAATTTCACATGTATTCCTTTCAGGTGATTTATAAATATGCTAAGTAAGTGCGGCCCTACTGCTGATGACTTGCAGGCAGGATTGTTTATACAATCCATAGAAATGCCTTATATTCTTGTATTGTTTCTTTTTTTAAGCATCAAGATCAAAGAATTCCTCCATTTCAGAAAAAATATAACCTTTCCAAAGATATTTTGCAAGTCTAAACATAGTACATTTTCTAATTCTCTTTTATTCTAATTCTCAATTACTTTGCCAAAGGCTTCTATTGGATATCAATTCCACCCATAAAATCTTCACCACCCTTCTCCCCAGCAGGTAGCTGGACCTCATGCCAGGTACTACTTTGCCCCCTCCTCGAGTCCTGCTAGAAATGCTTTTATAATAAAGATATTCATTTTATTATTATTATTTACAAAACTCACACTAAATAACAAATAACTGTGGTCCAATTGCACTGATGTGATCTCCACTATTGCTTTTAGTTTACTCTCCCACAACTCAATTTTGGGTAGGTTACCTGACTCCTCTGATCTCAGGTTTTCTCACACGTAAAGTAAAGAAGTTAATGACAATTTCAAATGTTGGGAAGATGAAGAGTGAAATTATAAGGATGACCAGCATAGTACCTGACACATAGAAGAAGCAACTTTCACAGTATGCTTATTCTAGCAAATGGGCTCTGAGGGTGTATAGAAATCCTGGCCTGGAAGAACAAGGACTTGGTCATTGTCATAAAGTCAGTCATTTTAAACAAATACGCTGGTGCTTTTGATGAAGAGATGTGGCTAACTCTGGGAAAACCCTCACTGAACTAACTTATACTAGTAGGAACATGGCTGATTTCTAGCTATGAGGCAAGACCCAATTTAAAAGAATATGCTATTCTCCCGTCCATATTGTTTAATCTTCAATGAGAGGTAAGCTTCACTCCTCTGCACTGAAGCTTCATTGCTGTCTCCTCCACAGAGCTACCCAGATGGGTGGGTGGGTAGATGGATGGATGGATGGATAACGGCTGGATAGATAGGAAACAAATTAACACAAGATGGTTAGAACTATCAAGATCACCTAGATAACTCTCCTATTCATTAGAAATGAGCCTCCATTACTGAAGATACTGATGGTAACTTATTGAACATTTTCTATGCCATCATTTTATGTTCTAGTTATGCTAGAAACCATACCAAGAGTGTTATACATGTATATTAATATCTCCAGTAATCCTCACAATAGCATATATTAAAATCATTCCCATTTTAGAGATGCAAGATCTGATACTATAAAATGCCAAGTAACTTGCCTAAGGTCATACTGCTAAGAGGCCCATGGCTAGGATGTGCACCTGATTCTTAACCCGCCCTTCACCACTCCCCTTACTCTTCCTCTTGCTGTTAACCTCTATACTTTTTGACCTTAGCTACACTATTGGTTATGCCCTCATGAGGCTTCTTAATATGTTGCTTCTTACTTTGAGTTATGTTTAAAGCATTTATATAGGGTTTTGAGCATCTAAAAACATTAAAAGAATTCAGTTTTTAATAAGGCTTATAGTGCGGTTAAAGCCACAGGCAACAAGGGCAGATACCTCAAAGTATTCCCTGTGAAATACATATATAGACCAAGGACAGGAAACCCTCATCACCCAAGATTCAATCCAAGTTGGCTCACTGTGGAGTGGTAGACAGAGTTGATAGTTGGCTTCGAAATGCCCAAGATGACAATAAGAAATCCAATTGGCAAAACAATAACAGAGAAACTATTCCAAATAAAGATGGTCATTATGGGAAAGTCAGGTCTGAAGGCAGCTGGGTTTGTTTTGAGTTATCACAGCTTAATAGCAGACTGTCTTTGTAAGAAGATGGGGTTCCTGCAACCCCAGGCATCATGGCTAATACCAGTCTGAAATTAAAGTTTAAAAAAAAAAAAAACCAAGACCAATGGTTACTGTAGCAGAGAAGAATTCTGTGAGTTTTCATTACTGCTTGAGTGAAAGTTAACTGTACAAAGGACATAATGGGTGTAAAAGACAAAATAATGGCAATGTATTATAGATTTAGTTATTCTAAGATATTGAAGCAATCAGTTCAACTCAAAAAACTATACTGAGTTTCTACTACCAATTATTTGGAGGATTCAAAGGGGAAAGTCCATGAACAGAGCTTACAATATTGGAGAGATTAGGCACAAATAACTATGTTATCACACCATTAAGAAAAAATTATTATACCCATGAGCATAAGAATGTGGTTCCAACTGCTGAGTTCTAATAGATAAGAAATAAAAGTTGTCTGGGTGCAATGGCTCACACCTGTAATCCCAGCACTTTGGGAGGCTGAGGTGGGCGGATCACGAGGTCAGGAGATCGAGACCATCCTGGCTAACTTGGTGAACCCCCTTATCCACTAAAAATACAAAAAAAAATATAGCTGGGCATGGTGGCACATGCCTATAGTCCCAGCTACTTGGGAA